ATGGCATGCAACTAAATACCTTGAATGGTAAATCGGATGGCGCTACATGTATGTGAGGAAAATTTTCCAGAAAAATCTGATGTGGAGATTGAAAATTAAGTACTCTGGATGACATACGTTTTTTTTAAATATGTAGCCATGAGAATAACTTCCCCCAATAAATAATTTGAAACATTAGAGGAAAGCATAAGATTACGGGTAACCTTCAAAATGTTTATTCTTGCATTTAGTTTTCCCATTTTGTTGATGTGTCAACACACAAACATATGTTGATGATCTTATGGTTCTAAAGGTAGGTATTGAGGCTATAGTGTGAAGTAGTCCTTAGTATTGTCTGAACTCTGATGTGAGTATATGAATTTTAGAGTTGAATTTATTTTGATTCATAAGATTGAAAGTTTGAAAAATTTGCCCGACCTCATACTTTTCTATCATAAGGAAAGCTCTAATTACCCTTGTATGATCATCAACAAATGTTAGAAAACATTTAGTGCTAGACAAATTTTTTATTCTTAAGGGACCCCACATATCACTATAGATCGAAAAGGCAATTGAAGGTTTGTATGACATTTGAGGATATACTGTTTGAGTATGCTTTATAATCTGACAAGTATTACAAGAAAAAGATGTTGGACTTTTATTGATAAATAATTTGGAAAACAATTTTACAAGTACATAAAGCTGGGATGATCAAGACGATAGTATAATAATATAATTTCACTATCTTCATTGATATTGGAATTGAATATATAATTGAAAGATTCCAATAGGCTCTCAGATTGGATGCAACTTGTTTGAGAAAATTGGTTTGAGGATCTGTCACATGGGCGGAGATAGAGCCCGGAGCACAGTTCAACATTGTCAATCATCTTCCTTGATTTCAAGTCTTTAAAAACAAACAAGTTTGAATATAATTTAGTAATACATTGAAGGTCACAAGCCAATTTGCTAATGAATAAAAGATTATAATCTAAATTTGGAACATGGAGGGATAGACTTGAGATACAATTCCTTAGTTAGTTGAATGGAACCTATTCCAACGATTTTAGAATTTTGAACCCTCAACAATATGAATGGATAAGTGATCACTACTTTCGTTGTAATTTTGGATAATGGCAATATCTCCTGTCATGTGATCTGAAGCACCATTGTCTACTATCCACGACCTCATTTTTCCTTTATTAGGTTAACTATTCATTAAAGTGAAAATCCAGGCATTACAAAATTTTTAAGCTTAACATAAAAGGGTTTTTTGTTGAATCATAATTATGTTTAACCAATAGTAACATAATTAAAATTTTTTTATCCATAAATGTGATCGCTAACAAAGCTTAGTCCTTAATAATGAACACATCATAGTTATAGTTTTAGCAAAATATAATTACAGTTTCTCCATTTGTATGCTAACTCTAGGAGATATGCAAAGTATTTTATATATGAAAATTATAGTTTTGGAGCTATAAATATGAGTTTTGAAAATTGAAAATAATTATAAATAAATTTCTAAAATCATGAAATTTTGTGAGTGGTTTCAATGTGATGAACACTACGGAACAATCATTATAGCCAATTATTATTTTACCCCTTTTGGATTTTCAATTTAAGTTCAATTTTATTTGATCTGCTTAACATTTCAAAATCATGATATTAAATTAAATGAATTAGAAATTTGGAAAATGAGAAATATGACTAGTTGCCATCTTCGAAAGAATTTAATAAAATTCATGCATAGCCTATGAGTTTGTACTTCCCACAAGTCCAAGTTTCACCAAGGGCCAATTTGTTTTGGTTTAAGTGTTTGGATGTGGTTGGAGTTGAGTTTTAGAAATGAGTTTTAGAAATGATCTTATTTGAAGTAAGTTTCATTTGTGTTTGTTTGTTTTGTATGAATGAACTTATAATGAATTCAATTCTAGTGTTATTTTAGATTGCAACAACTTTCTTTTTATTCAATATCTTGATTTAGTAATAAATGGTATGTTTGGAGCAGTGATTAAATGTCCCTTCATGAAAACTAGAGGTCTTAGGTTTGAGTCATAGAAACAATCTCTTTACAACGGTAGGGTTAAGATTATGCACTTCATCTCTCCATAGATCTTGCATGAGATCTCGACACGCTGCTTGCCTTCTAATTAAATTTATATTATTTTATTATCATTTAGAATAAAAGTAGCATTCAAACTTATTCATCTTTTAGTGATATATTGTTGTATTATTATTTTATGCAAAAAAGAGGCGAGGCTGGTTTCCTAGCCCTAATAAATAAAATTTGTTTCTCTCCATTATATAGGTGAGTTCCAATAATGAATAATTCACTTTCATTCTCTTTCTCATCGAAACAAATACTCGAACTCAATTGTAATTACTTCCCAGCACTTTGAAATAAATTAGCCCTACTGTGTGCACGTGTGAATAAATGGAGTTAGTGCTGATCCTTAATTTAATTTTATTATGATTAGCAACTTTTTGGTTGCTCCACACGGCTGTTAGTAAGCTTTTAGCATTCTTTAATAGTTTCAACATTTTTTGACATGCATCTTTTTTTTTTTTTAAGCCCTTGAAAAGAATTTTTGTGCCATTTGATCATGGGCCTTTTTAAAATTGATAAGAACCATATGAATATCATGTTTCTACCATTGATACTTTAATATTGGTTCTCTTAGTGCAAAAATACACCTTATAATATATTTTTTCTCATCAAATTTTGTTGTTCTTCTATCAACTTTTTTAATAAAGACATGTTCAATTTTCTTCTTCCACATTTTTATTTTATGGCTTGTAAGATTGATTCATATAAGCTTGGCTCAATCTTTAAGATATTTTTTGCTTTCGAAATGTAGTACACAAATGCGAGTTCCCTAACCATTGGGCATTTGACTATCAATCTTTGGAATTATGTTGAAAGATTGGATTATCAAACCAATTTAATGGCTTCTAGTTCAGCAAATCTAAAAAATCTTTTCTGGACCACAAGCCTAACCTATATGCATCATCTTTAAAGCTAACACAATGTTACATTATTTTGGGATAATTATATTGTATATTTCAATTGTCTTTATTATGCTTTGTCAAGCAATTTCTTTCTTAAAATAATTATCTAGTAATTTTTCGAAAGAGTTTTCTCAGTTTTCTTTTCGTTTTTTAACTATCTTTAACTAGGCTTTTTATTTTCTTAGCTTTAAAAACACATAACTTAATAAAAGTCTTTAATCCTAATCTATCGTGTCTTGACTATTGTATATCTCACTTATGCTTTATTATCTTGGGAAATCATTCAAGTGCTATAACTTTGATTACAATGGCTATACTCCTTGCAAAACTTATAGATTCTTTAAATTTTTGTATATTCGTGTATTATTTTTATTGTCACCCTTTAAAAGCTCATTTTTTGCCTAAATAGCCTTGTGTAACTTTTCATTCTCTTTAAATTCCAATTTACCTATGAACGGTTTATGTTGAGAGATATTCTCTTTTAAGCTCTAACATCATATGTTGGTTAATCCTTTTTATTTTCTCTATGGTTTAACAACATTTATAATTTAGTCCCATATTTAAAAATAATGTCAATTAGTTAGTCGTTTTTAAAGAAAAAAAAATTATTTCTTAGTCCTATAATTGTTTCCTTTTTTTTTTTGTTTAATCTGGTTATTTTTAGTTACCATATGGTCACTAAAAAATTAGAATTTGTTATTATTAGACATTTCTAATATCATATGTTTTTTGATAAAAATATTTTGCTATTGCTAGACATACAATAATAATAATCATATGCAAGGATGCAAAATAACCATATTGAGAGAGGACGGCAGTTGGTGGATAGCAGGTAAAGCTCAGGCGCTCATGTGAGGTGGGATAAGGACATTTGGTATAAAAAAATAAATATTTGATCTAAAAATAGAATTTAGTAGGATTGAAGATTGATACAAGTCAAATGTCTAAAAAGTAAGTAGTGGCCAATAAGAGAACCTTTGGTTAATTTCTTTTATTTATTTATTTATTTATTCTTTCAAGGCATGCATCTGTAACTACTACTTTCTTTAATGTGATCAGATTGCCTCTTGAAATCTCTTTACACTCTCTGTAGTTCTAAATGATGAAGTCTATTTGTCAAACATTTCTTTATTCAGTGAATGTCAAAAATACAGTCCTGATTACTGTTCTAGTGGCTGCACTATGTTTTGGTTTTTTTTATCTGTTATGTGCAAGTGTGTTTTACTTTTGCTGATCAACTTTATCATTCTACGTGATTGCAAGTTTCTAAAGCATATTTATACGTCTTTTAATATTTTTAATGCTTGTTTATGTTAAGGAGTTGTGTGCTATTGTTTAAGGAGTACATATTTGGCCAGAGATATATTTGTGCCAAAATTGTAAGAAAACATTCACGCCATATTTAAATCTGTATATGTATGCAGTTTTCTCTTTCTGAGTTGGTCTGCTTGTTATATTCATTTAAGAATCAAATTTTTGTCTTCTGGATTTAACTTTTAAACAGGGGAAAAGACTAAAATGGTCCTTTAACTTTATAAAGGACCAAAATGGTCCCCAATTATATTAAAAGACTATTTTGGTCGCTCAAGTCTTTAAAAAAGAATTAAAATAGTTTCATTGTAGGACTATTTTTGTTTCTTTTGAAGGAGTTAAGGGACCAAAATGGTTCTTTAATATAGTTGGAAACTATTTTAATCTTTCATTAAAAATCAAGGGGCCATTTTGGTTATTTTCTCCTTTTAAACATGTTAGTAGTCAAATTAGTGCAGACTTTGTTGCCAGCTGAAGCTTGTAGTATTTGGTTCTATGCTAGATATGCATTTATATTTCCAATTAATCATTTTTTTACCATTTGGCTATAATGATTAAATTACTAATATTAGCCTGTAGAAGCTTCATTATCATACTTCCTCAAGTTAACCATGCTTCATTTTGTTATAAATTATTTTAGTTATGTTCTTTGGAGCATTTTAATGTGGGGTCATTTTTTTGCTAATTTGCTTGGCCAGGAACCAACTCGTCCTGCCATTCCCATTCTTTTGGCTGTTGGTGCGGTCCACCAGCATCTGATTCAGATTGGCTTGCGGATGTCAGCTTCAATTGTTGTTGATACAGCTCAGTGTTTCAGTACCCACCAGTTTGCATGCCTGATTGGATACGGTGCCAGGTGATTTGGTTTCTCATTTTGACAGCATCTTCTTATCTACATTAATAAATAATGATTATATGTGATTGTACCTCATCAATTTGTCTAATCTATTTTAGTTTTTTGAAGAAGTCCATTAGGGTTGATTTATGTAATTATCCTATCTCTCATGTTTGATCATGTTAATTTGAAATTAAAAGAAATAAACTCATCTAGGAAGAGTACAAAAAGTCATTCAAAGCTAGGAAGAATCTGCAACTTAAATAATAAAAGAAATAAACTAATGTAAGGCTAATTCAATCGATTTAATATATAAGATCACTTGACTCACTGGGTAAGGCCATAGACCCATTGTTGTGCTTTTCTTATATTTGTGGTTGAATGTCTATTTATGGGTCTTCCAATAGATGCAAGTGCCATCCCAATTAATTTGCGATAGCATAAAGTAAATGAGCCCATCTAAAATAGATAATTCCTAAGCCTTCCAATATAAGTAAATGCTATCCTAGCTAATGGGGTTGCACAAACCTAACAAGACCAAGCAAACCAATTTAACCAATCTGATCAGCTTATAGGGTAAGGCTGCAAGGCACATTATTTGGCTTTCCGTATTCCCAAGGTTGTAAGGCCAGCTTATGAGCCTTCTTAAGTTATACCTAACCTTAATTCAAGCTTATAATAAGGATAGAAGCTTTAACCACTTTATGACTTCCCAAGTATGTAAGGCCCAGCCTTTAAATAAGGTTATAAGACCGCTAATGAGCTAATGAAATACTAAGCTTGAGCCAACTACAATGAAAACAAGCACATCATTCAGAAAGAAATGCACCATTCAACCTCATATGTTTCAGGTGTGCTTCCTTAATTCAAATTATAACTTGTTGATAATTGATAATTATATCATGCTACTGAGTTCTTACTTATCATGTTTAGTACTTTTGAACCAAAAATGACCATATTGTGTGCCTCTTAATTATTTAATGAAATAATTATGATAAGCCCTCTGTTCATAAATGAGTTGATGCTAATCTTAAAAAACCATCTTGATGACACTTTTTTTTTGATAAAAATTACATATAACTTTGAAATGATCTACGATATCTATTAGAAATCAGATAATCGATTATTCCATTGCTTTGTGATTACATACTTTTGCCTTGATGTCTAGCTTCTTCAAGAATTATGCATGTGCAATATCTCTGACTAATTTATCTTCTTATTGGATAATATGTCTCTCCTTACTTGAGAAAATGTTGAGCAATGCATCCAGAAGTTTTGGTCATTATGAGGATGTCTTGTCATTGTCTAATGTGTGACAAATTATGAAAGAACTAGAATTCAATCAGTAAATATAAATTATCTTTACGAATAAACCATTTATTCCAGTGAAATATCTTTCTTTTTATAGCAACTGAGATCATTTTGCTTCATGTTACGTTCCAACTATTTTTCTTTTCATCAACTTTTTCTCTTTGATGGATACATGTCAATAACACAAAATAGCACATGCCATAATGATGCAAGCAAAAATTTTGGAAGGGCCCCAAATTTTTGCAAGCAAAAACTAGACTTTCCTAGGTAATAAAAATTACAAAGATTACATGAAATACTCAAAACTAGGTAAAATACGAAACAAAACGACTTTTTATAATAAAAGACTCTTACAACTCATGACCCTTACAAAGTTTGACACAAACACAAATTAAAGACACCTAAAGGAGCTTGCCAATCGTTGCTTTGAGAAGAATGATACAAGTGGAAGGGAACTTGCTGATAGAAGAATAGATTAGAAGCCAAGACGAAAGGAAGGAGAAGCTCGCAAGCTTTCCTAGAAGAAGGAGAAGGGATGGAACAAGCTCGCAAGCTTTTCCACCATGAAACCCGCAGGTTTAGATCAAAAAATTAGCACACATAGCATCTTCTTTTAAGCCTCAAAACATCTCCTATTTATAGAAGAAAAGGGCCGCCAAATAGCCACCTAAAATATTAATTAAAACCTATTAGATTTAGGGAAATGAAAGGCCAACAGTCATAACACATCAGCCCCCAAACGGTATAGCAAAACAGAGAAGAAAAGCCATGAGAACCAAGCAGCCAAGCCACGGGAACCAAGCAGACAGCCACAAGAACCAAGCAGCCAGCCACAGGAACCAAGCAGCCAGTCACAGGAACCAAAGGGGCAAGGCACGGGAAAATCACTCAGCACACGAAAACGAGAAGACAAAGGGGAGGAGAAGAGGCAAGTCCACTCCAAATTGAATTCATGAGTTAATAGTATACATTTTTGAATTAATGAGCTAGGAAGTGCAATAAATCTCCAATCGTTGAGCTAAAACTTCAGCTCAAGCATTTATGAGCTAACTCCAAGTAGAATTCCAACATTTATAACTCCGTACCAAGCAACCAAGACTCACCCGAGAACAATAGCAGCCCAAGGGTCAAAACAAAATATCCATTTTGTTTTGACCCCCCGTTTGCATGCATCAGATACTCCCCTACTTGAAAAACTCATCTCCCGATGAGTTGTCTTTAGCTTTCTTCCGAGGAAGCGAAGAAGGCGCATCAAGTTCTTGAATTTTTGCCTCGAATTTCTTCAGGATTTCTTCTTGCTCTTTCTCGAATTGTTCTTAAAGAAATTTTTTTTCCTTTTCTCGTATATCTTATCACATAAGAACATTAGATATTGAATTTTATACAACTCTATTTGTAGCGGATCTGTTGAATCACCTTCTGTTGGAACCCATCTGTCCATCGGAAGAGGGACTTCAAGATCTTCTGGCTTGCTTTCTTCTTTGACTGAATCAATCTTTTTGTGATTTTCCATTTTTTATAAAAACTCAAAAAGAAACTTAGACTCAAAGAAAGAAAGACTCAACCTAAAGAAACCAAGACTTACACAACAACTGTTATGACTCACCAAGACACACACAACTTGCTTTGATACCAAATTTGATGCAAGCAAAAATTAGGAGAAAGCCTAATTTTTGACAGCAAAAGATCACTCTTCCTAGGAACTAGAAGATTACATGAAATACTCAAAACTAGGCAAAATACGACACAAAACGACTTTTTATAATAAAAGACTCTTACAACTCATGACACTTACAAACTTTGACACAAACACAAATTAAAGACATCTAAAGGAGTTTGCCAATCGTTGCTTTGAGAAGAAGGATACAAGTGGAAGGGGAACTTGCAGATAGAAGAATAGATTAGAAGCTAAGACGAAAGGAAGGAGAAGCTCGCAAGCTTTCCTAGAAGAAGGAGAAGGGATGGAACAAGCTTGCAAGCTTTTCCACGACGAAACCCGCAGGTTTAGATCCAAAAATTAGCACACATAGCATATTTTTTTAAGCCTCAAAACATCTCCTATTTATAGAAGAAAAGGGCAGCCAAACAACCACCTAAAACATTAATTAAAACCTAATAGATTTAGGGAAATGAAAGGCCAACAATCATAACACATCATCCCCCAAACGGTACAGCAAAACAGAGAAGAAAAGCCATGGGAACCAAGCAGACAAGCCACGGGAACCAAGCAGACAGCCGCATGAACCAAGCAGCCAGCCGCAGGAACCAAGCAGCCAGCCGCGGAACCAAAGGGGCAAGGAACGGGAAAATCACTCAGCATAGGAAAACAAGAAGACAAAGGGGAGGAGAAGAGGCAAGTCCAGTCCAAATTGAATTCATGAGTTAATAGTATACCTTTTTGAATTAATGAGCTAGGAAGTGCAGTAAATCTCCAATCGTTGAGCTAAAACTTCAGCTGAAGCCTTTATGAGCTAACTCCAAGTAGAATTCCAACATTTTTAGCTCCGTACTAAGCAACCAAGACTCACCCGAGAGCAACAGCAGCCCAAGGGTTAAAACAAAATATCCATTTTGTTTTGCTTGGTGCACCCTTTGATTGTCGTGGTGCTGCACGGGGGGTATGGCATGCTTTATCTGCTTCATGCACAAGCAATAGAGAATAACTAAAAGCCCCCTATAGCACACTATTTTAATTTTAAATAATTTAGGATCTAAAATTAATATTGATATTTTTATCATGTAAATATTAATTTTATTTTATCTCAATTAAAATTTTTTAGAGTTTATTATCACTTTGAGTAGTGTTGAATGCCCATCCCTCTTGCTGCTTTGGGTTTGATTCTAGGACATTGAATTGTACATCCCTTCGTCTCTCAGTTGCTTCTACTCTAAGGTTATCAAATGTGAGAGATTCACACATCTCTCCATCTCTTTCCCAATTTGATTCTTTTTGGACTCAGAGGCATTCTCAATGCCACAAGCTGAACATCTCCATCTTTGCCTTAATCATCTTTTGTTAGTCTCCATCTGTCTTGCTGAAGTAGTCATGAGCTGCTCTCGCTCTCATTAAATGACAAAGGAGGCGGGCTTGACAAGGCTTCAACGAATGTACTTGTATCCATTCTTGCGTTCAAAGTAGATTTGCTATTTTCATGTTGTTTCCCGAAATTTTCTAGTTAACAAAAATTTCACTCTATTTTGCTATTTAATACCACTGTAAATAACATATTCAAAAATTTTTAATCTAAAATTGTCTTGTGGTATGCCATGTTTAAAACATCTCATGCCGCACTATATGCATGTGTGCTATGCGCTATAGTTCCACAAAAAACTTTGCATTATGGTGCACCATTCGCCATTAACAAACTTGCTTAAGTCTACGTTTCACATTCTTTTTTCTGTTAACCTGGCTTTCTTATATCTTTTTGAAATTCAATTTTCCATTTCTAGCTTTTGTTTTTTTTTTCTAGTATTCTAAGTTTAACTTGCCCATAGGAAATCTCTGGCTAACAGTCTGGTTTCTTCTTACCTTGCAGTGCTATATGCCCATATCTGGCTTTAGAAACATGCCGCCAGTGGAGGTTGAGTACAAAAACTGTGAATATGATGAGGAATGGAAAGATGCCCACAGTGACTATTGAGCAGGCCCAAAGGAACTTTTGCAAGGTTTGCACTTTATTGAATCTATGCAGTTAATGTTTCTCTGGTAGATCTTTCTCCTGAATCAACTCCCACTGTTACCTTCCATTTGGAGAGTATGTTATCTTGTCATTGTTATTAAAAACTTTGTATGGGTCTTCTGCCATTTAGCTTTTAGGGTCATAAAATGGCTGGATAGTTTCTGTAATATAATGTTATATGGTTGTTTAACAAACTATTAAAATTTCTACTTATTGTACTTGGTGCTAATTTTTAGTATCTTCCTGTTTTACTTGGATTTTGTCCCTGCATATTATGAATTGTAAAGCAATGAAATTGATCTATCTGATAATATGATTATAGACAATTTTCTTGAAAATTTAGACATGAAGTCAATGTGTGCTTCTTTGATAGTCCAAATCATTCTAAAACCCACATATTTTATAACCATAGTTTTATTCCGTAAGTCAATGGATCATTACCAATGTAGATAGAGAGATCACTGTTTGCTGTACAATTTTTATTGGAATTCAAGCAAGCTATAGCTTAATAAACACCTCTGCCATTACCTGTCGAAATGTAAAAAAAAAAAAAAAAGCTTTACATCAGCAATGTACTTTCCTGAAATGTTAGCTATAGACTTATTGCTCAATTAACGTTGGTCTGTCTAAACCAAATTTAGTGCAATGGCAGCATAATAGTTAGTCACACTCCCATAACCACAAAGGGGTTTAGTGCTATATTTATCTTGTTGGTATTTTGGTTTGTATTTGTAACTCTCACGCATGTCCTCCTAACGCTGCATTAGAACATGCGTATTCATATGTACATTTTACTTGGATCCGTCAAAATAACATGGAAACATTATGACAATTATCATAATGCTGAGCACACCTGTATGCAGTTTGGGTGCTTTACATCTGCTTCCTTCGCATTGTTTACATAATTTTGTTCGTTTACTATAATTTTGATAAATTTCTAGTTCTTACTTTTACTGTATGTTCTTTCTAAACAATTTGCTTCTCTTTTTCAACGAGGTAATCTATTCAAATTTTTTATTCAGGCTGTGAAATCCGGTCTTCTTAAGATTCTTTCAAAGATGGGGATTTCTTTGCTGTCCAGGTTTGCATAACATGCAAGCTGCTTTTGTGGTTTCATTTTTGAAGTAGCTTTTTAATTGTAGAAAATTCTAAGTTTCGTTAGTTGTGTTTCCTTTTCTTCTAAACTTGTGATGTTATGGCTGATTTTTCCTGTTGCAAAATCAGTTACTGTGGGGCGCAAATATTTGAGATATATGGCTTGGGGCAAGACATTGTTGACATTGCTTTCTGTGGTAGTTTTTCAAAGATTGGGGGACTGACTGTTGATGAGGTAAGGAGGCCAATTTGAAACATCCTCCGCTTATGTCCAATAACAAGTTTGTCTCCTAAATTAGGTGAATTACTCTTGCACAAGGTTTAAAGGCTTTTTATTTCCGGGCTAATGGATTTAAACAACTCAAGAAGAACATACTGGAACATGCACATTTGTATTTAAATTTATATAAAACTGATATGCATGCGTTCAGATTCTTCCGGTATTACACTTGTCAATGGGCTGTAGTGCCGCTCTTGCATTGAGACATAAAAGATGTTCATGTTTACAATATGTGAACAAGGGGTACAATGTAGTTGCAGGCTAGCTATAACGCGGGATGTTAATTTTGTTTTTCATTTGAATCTTTTGGATTATTAGAACATGTATAATTTGATAAAGTTACAAGACATCATGAGGTTATGGGGTGATTTCGAGCTACTAAATCATTTCATAACATAATTTCTCACTACTGCCCAGCCCTACATAATTTGAAAAAAATAAATTGAAACGTCTTTCTGATGTAGACAAAGGGGGGTCAACACTAATCCAAAATAAATCAAATTTTGGCTTCCCTTGAGTCTACTAGCTCAATCCATTTGAGCTGAAATTTTAGCTCATTTATGAGCTGGTCTTTAGTTCATTTATTGAACTAAGGGTTAGCTCATTATTAGCTATGATTTTAGTTCATATTTATCTCATATTAAATGTACTTTTTATGCTTTCTATGTTTTTAATTATGTAGGTCTCTTGAAATTCCAAACCGGCTTTTGGAATTCCAAGAATTTGCTTTTTCCATGGTGGCTCCTTGAATTCCACCATGGCTTTTTGTGCCTTTCCCCCTTGGATTCCGGCTGGCCGCTGGTTTCCCGTGCCTGGCCTCTTTCCCGAGGCCGTGGCCCCTTGGTTTCCGCTCGGCCTCCTTGGCTCCCGCGACTACCTCTTCGGTTCTTGGGTTTGGGATTTATTTTTAGGTGTTTTAATGTTGTGATGCTTAGGTTCTTGTGTCAAGTTAATGTAAAGTGTCTTTTCATATTCTCATACTTATAAATATGAGATGTATTGTAATGTTTTAAATAGTTATGTGATATGTGATTTTTGGAAAAAATCTGTTAACCTGCGGGTTGCTTGGAAATCCTGCGGGCTCTTTCCACCCTTCTTGCTCATCCCCTCCGGAAATCTTGCGGGCTCTTTCCAACCTTTCTTCTCGGGCTTCTAACCTCTTTCGTCTCTCCGCAAGTGCCACTTCACCTGTATCCCTCTTCTCTAGGTGCAACAACTTTAGGGTGTCATCATTTTGTTTGCAAGAGTCGTTTGTATTGTTGTAAGTTTTCTTTTGTTTAGTTTAAATTGAAATGAAAGAGTTTGTTCTTCTTTTTTCTCTTCCTTAGTCATTTCCGTCGGTAGAAGTCCGTGCCTCTTTTTTGTGATAAAAAAATATAGGGTCCCTAAATTTTTTGATTACATCACTTTCTTTCATCAATTTAATGTGCTATAGTAGGAATCATGGCATGCTCTGGATGACTTAGAAATCAGAAACAAAATGCTGTACGGAAGAGCTATCCTTTGAGACATTATGTCAAATAAAAAAAAAAGTAAATATGGTAGAGACAATGCTGCTCAGAGAAAGCCAGGTGCTTGCTTAGAAATTCAGGCAAACCAATGTGAAGCAGAAGCGCCTCCTGAATCTTTCAAGCGGGCTTTATAACTAATGCATGCATAGATAAGGGCCTTGTCTTAGGCATCAAGCAATGAGGCAAACATGCCTTGATTTGAGAGTTGGGTGCTAATATTTCAATTGTTAAAGATGAGTTGGTTTCTATGGGATGTTATTAAGAGCATGAAAAGTTAGAGAAATAAGTATGCACCCATGGATGCAAGCTGGTTAAAAGTGGGCGTATGATGCCAAGTTAAAGGAAAGTAGATTTTGAACATGAAGATGATGTGTCCAAAAAAACAAAGGAAGAGATGTAGGGCTACAAAGTTAGTGAGAGAGAATAGAGTGAGGATACAGTAGATAGTTGTATTGATTACACTATTCCTAAGCTATACATGCTACAAAATTTTGTTGTTGTTGAACTTATTTTAAATAGAATATTTATCAAGATTTCTTAACTTTGAACTCAATGATAATTGAAATTCATTATTTTGCTCAATATAATTTAGTGTGATGATTATGATGTTATAATCCTTAAAAGTATTCATTATAATTGAAATAACTTTATAAGTGATGTAGTTTTTCTATTTTAGCACTCTGTTTTGATCGAATTAGTGCAAATGGTGAAATCCAGTGTCATTGATACTAGGGAACTATATTGCCATGACAACGTTTAGCACATTTGAAAACACTCCACAATGCTAAATTATCAACTAAGCTTGGTAATGTTGTAGGACAACCAGATTGGTTTTACTCTGGTCATGGGTATTATGATTAAAGCTCTAACTTGGTCTTACTCAATTTATGATGATCCCTTAAAAATATGACAGTAGGAATGCCTTAGAGATGACATTCACCTGGAAGGTGCGAGTGGCGTTATGTTCTCTCCTTATTGTCCTAAGTGCCTAGGCTAGCTGTTGGTTGATTTTTAGTATTGCTGGTGCACACTATGGTGTTAATTATAGTTTGCTGTAAATCATTTTTCATAATTTTTTCAGCTTTGATCTATTTTGCACAATTTTTTTAAGCTTATTATCTTTAAACATAGGTTATAACGTGATACTAATGTTTCTCAAAATTAGTTTGGATTCATGTCTGGTAGGTTTACTATGAAAGCTATACATTTGTTGAGAGGTTTGATGGAGTATCGAGAGAGTAAGGAGGATCTACATATGATATTTATTGATTTAGAAAAAAAACATATGATAAAGTTTCATGAGAAGTGCTCTGGAGATATTTAAAAAAGGAGTAAATAAAACTTATATTCAATTTCTTAAGGATATGTATAGAGAAGTTTTTACTTTTGTGCAAGGTGGATGACGAAGTATTTTCCTAATTTTGTTGTATTATATTAAGGATTAGCTTTAAGCTCATATATTTTTACTTTAGTCATGCATATTCTTACGAGAAATTTGCAAGAGGATGTACCTTGGTATGCTTTTTGTTGATGATACTCTTCTTTTTGATAAGACTAGAGAGGGAGTTGAAGGAAAACTTGAATTATGGAGGTCAACTTTAGAGTCTGAAGATTTTCATTTGAGTAGATCTAAAATTAAATACATAGAATGTAATTTTAATAGTAATAGATCTAGTTATAGTCGTCACCTTCTGTACCGGTAGCTCCTATCTCTAAGGCTTTTTCGGTTAATCACATTTCATTTTATCCTTATTTTTTTTTTCATCGCTTGCAATTGCTCTTATGAAAAAGTTATGGGTGGTTCTTTGGGCATGGGTTTGCATCCATATATTGTTTTCTATTTTCCTCTTCACTTACAAGATTTTGCTGTTCGAATCATGAACAACCTTTATCATTTCAAAGCAAATCTTCACCTTTTTTTTTTTTTTTTTGAGAAAGAGATCTCTGAGCTCGATTGTGCACTTCTTTGCCTATTGTCGGAAAATTTAATTAGGTAGTTAAATGTTGATGTCATTTGCAAATTTCTTTTAGATCTTCACTTTGCTGATGACTGTTCAGTTGGGCTTATTGATCATTATCACATTATTATTAGACTTTATTTCGATGCAAATTACATCACGCTCTTCTCAAGATGCACCTATTATGTTTGTTGATTTTTCATGTATATGTGTAAGTGGACTCCCCATTTTGACGTATTTGCGGAACCATTCATCACATTTGGGTAGTTTTCGTCACCTTAGTTACATTATTTTTGTCTTGAGTTCCGTCTTTAGGAAAGCCTTGCAATTGGATGTTGCTATTATTGTCTTTTGAGGCATTTTGTGGCTAGAGTTTTGGTTTTAAATGAATTTTACTTTGCATTGAAAAATAAGCTTTGAATTAGCTTTTCTTGTGGCTATTAACAGATGGTAGTCTTAAAGGCATCCTTTTATATTGTTTGTTCTATAAAATTTTTGAGCATAATTTTTCTGAGTGTTTCAAAAGGCTCATTAGATCTTAAAAATATAATCACTTGGGTTCTAAAGGAACATTTAAATGTCTAGACCCCTCTTAATCTTATAATAGTTGTTGGTCCTCCATCAATGTAGATCGTCACAAAGAATTTGAAACCTATTGATTTTCCTCAAGATGATTAGATTGTTGTGTTCGCCTATACCAGGCCTATTGAAATGGTCTCTATATCCTTTTGCTTAATGAGACATTGGAAATTTTCTCATTGATCTTAGAAGTTCTCTCTCACCTTTTTGTTATAGAAGATGACGTTGATCATGATCTTTTGTATCATGATGGTTTTGTTTGGAGCATTATTAGTGAAGATGGTTTTGATCGATAAAATATTTTAAGTCCTACATCATTCTCATCTTTATAAGGCTCCAAGCAAGATGATCCAAATGAGTCCTTTGCTCTCCTTTATTGTTTTTCTTGTTTTATTGGATGATTCATCAGTTGTTTTTATGCATTATGTATTTTTGTTTGTAGTTTAGTGATTCTTGGCAATTCTACTTTATGTACTTGTATTATTATCTTGTTGTAAGATTGCATTATAAGAAAACAAAATTAAACCCTAGATCATAAAAAAGTTATGTCAAATGTCATTGCTGAAACTGTATAGTGATCAAATCAAGTGCCACCTTTGCGGAGAATGAAAATGGAGTTTCATAATCACAATTATATGAGAGATATCTTAATGCTGAAATTTTTTGATGGAGGAATGAGCATGAATAAAAAAAGTTGACTATGTAGCTTAAATTCTAAAAAATCAATATAGTCATTATTTTAAATATTATTCTTTTTAGATTTTATTGTTGCCGACCCCACGTAGTGGGATAAAGGCTTGATGTTGTTGTTGTTTTAGATTTTATTGTCACGGAAGTGGAAAATGATTGAGATGGAAGATGATAAAGAAGATAGCGATGATGTTGATTGAAGTAGTGCTTGTATGAC